AAGGACTTTGGGAAGTGAACTGACTGCTCAAGTGGCACAGGTCAGGCAGAGAATTAGGGAGATCGAAGGGAATATGAGAGACAAGATGGCAATAATTTCTGCAGGGCCTGGGCTGAAAGCTGTAGCTATTGCTGCCTTAAGAACTGAGGCAGCAGTTCTTAATAGGAGCTGTGGTTCTTAATGGGAACTACAGCTTTCTGCCCAGGCCCTGAAGCAAATGTGCCAACAATTTGCTGTCTTCTTTTCACCACCTAAAAAGAAATTGTAATCATTACCATGATTTTAGGAAGGGGAAAACCCAAACCACTGGTAGGTGAAGGAACTTTCCCAAGTACAATCAGTATTGCGTCTACTCACAACACTCAAAGCAGAATATAAAAGACTGGGTCCTTGGAATAGGTCAAATCCAGAAGGACACTGTGGAATTGACTGTAGGAGTCTAGGGCTTCTCTAAGAGTTCATTCTGGTTTGAGTTTACATCCAGCAATCTTTACTTTGAAACTATCATCCTCTCCTGAAAAACCAATCCAAGCAAGAAGCACAGTGTTTTCTAAACATATAACAAAATATTGTTATGTGGAACAAGCAGCTTTGTTCAAGAGTTCTCTTGAAGATTGACTTAAAGGCCAACATATACTTCAGATTTAAATAGTCTGGTATGTGAGGAGGAACTCACAAAACCAGGATTCTCAACTCCTCTGTACTTCTGCCTCTTTGCTATACTGCTAGGGTGACTCTGCTGCCAATTTTTCAAACAATTTAAAATTGCACTGTCTTTTTTTTTAAACCTGTGAGAGGAAAGGTGGTGAGGGGGGAGGGAAGAAAATGAAGAATTTATAAAGGGAGATATAAATGTGTCAGTTTTAGAAATCATCTGCAAAGGGAGGAGGTTGGTTGGCAAGTATAATGGCAGACCAGAGCCAGAAAGAAGAGATAGATCATTAAAAGCATTAACTAAGTGTTTTGAGGAATTACTTTGTCAGGGTGCCAATATGACATTACTATTATTTCATTACAGACTTGATGTGTCACCAAACCTTTATATTGTTTAGACCTCTAAAAGCAAATTAGTGTTTTTTTTTAAATAATGAAATACTTCAGTTTTTGAGTGTTTTGAAACTTTCAATCCATGACAATCTGAAGGTGATTCATCCACTATTCACAGAACAGTTGAGACTCTCACAAAATTGCCCTGTCTTGAAGCTTTAACAAGAAATCACCATTCTTACCCTACCCTTGAGTACAAAAGGAGTAGACAAGGAGAGGAATAATTTCAGCTCGGGCTGACTCCTTTTGCAAGAGCTCAGGTATACCTCATTTACTGGAAATCCATTATGCATCTAATTCCAAGGGGCTGCTCATTCCCTTCCATGGCTCTCCATCAGCTCCTGACAGATCATCCCTTTGTTCTTTTCTTCTCCAGGTTAGGCTGGTCCTAATTGCTCCTTTGCATCTCAGAGAGGACACTGGTTTAGTCCATCATCATTTCCTTGAGAAAAAATATTTCAGTGAGACTCTGTTTTACCCTAGGAACACATTTTCCAGGAGCTTCTCTTCCTACACTTGAAACTCACTATGGCCAACACATTCCTGTAGGAAGAGTAATGAATCCAACTCCATTTTTAAGCACTGGGGAAAACATCACATGCAAAAGAGTGACAGATGGAGCTGTATCAGCTTTTACCAAACAGGGAAAGGGGAGGTAGAAGTCAGTCTCAGCACTTTTGTCAAAATGTGTTCTTAACAAAAGACATGTGTTAAATTACTAACACATGTCCATAATATTTTTAAATATTTATACTATGAACTAATGACATCCTCTCAATTAGTGAAAAGTGTCTTCTGTACATTCCTTTGTGAGGAAAGAAACAAATAAAAAGGTGTGCACGAGACCCAGCTCCATCCATCATGGTCCTTGCATCAGATTTCCTCTTTATCTCCCTTTGCTTTAAGACCATCACACGTCCCATGGTCAGAAACCTCTCATGGGGCAGCACTTTCCTGTTTGCCTGCAACACCATTGCCACCAAGAGCCATCTGTTTATAACTAATTTTTTTCCTTCCAAAGGGATTAAAAAAAAAAGTAGCTCTACTGGCAGATGAGCTTGTTTCTAAGTGGGAACACTATTACAGATAGACAGAATGTTCCTTTATGTTTATGCAGCTTCTCCAGCGTTGTGTAAATGCACACTCTGCAGTGTAATCATGAGTTTTCTATCACCATTAGCAGCAGGACCCCAGCAGTTAAATCAAAGAAGCCTATAAAATGCCCCAACACTGGAAGATTCCCACAAAGAAAAGACTAATTAGATAATTAAGGAATCTTTATGATATGAAGAATTTCATCTCCCAGCAAATTATAACACATTAGGTAATATTTCCAAAAAAAGTCCTGAAAGCTTGCAAAGCCACAAACTGGCTTTTCTTTCACGTGATCTTGAAGTAGTGGCTGGGTGCAAGAGGAGGGGGGAATGAAGGGGGAAAGAGGAAGAAGTGTTCACATTGAGGTAGTAAACTATTGTTTCTTTGGAAACCTTAAGTTTTGTCCAAGTTTTTAAAAATCAATATAAATGGAATATACTTGTGTTGCAGATATAAATAAAACCCTAGAACGTCTCCCACATGCATACTGTTGATAGGAATAGAAGTCTGAAAATGGGGTTTAAATCATCATCTCAGAAGCTTTAAACCTCACCTTGTAGTAAGTGACACTGAGCTTCTGGCAAGCGGCAGTTTCATGTATGAAATGTGCCTGCTAAAACTGAAGAGCATACAGAGTAGAACAAGATAATGTGTCAACAAATTACATCCTAGAGACTGAAAGCAATCCAGAGAGCCTGCACTGATTCCTTTGTACACAGAAAAGTACCGGGTGTCAGGATATCACAGAGGACAGTTTAGATCTTAACAGCCTAACAGAATAACAAGACATCGATTCACACTGTGGATAAGAAAAACAAACGAACAAATACCCACAAAACAACAACGACAAAAAAACAAATCACAGAACAAGTTCTGACCTCAGTTGTTTCCCCAGGAATTCCTCCTGGGTCCCCCCCTATCTTTATCAAAGCCTCCACTGCAAAACCTACTCCCTGTGGTCTGTCACTACCTGCCCCAGCCACTATTGCAGCCAGCTGCCCCCTCAGTAGAGCTCATTAAATACTGACAGAGCCGAAGGAATTGATGCATTTTAGGGTTTTATGGTTTTTTTGGCAGAACCTGCCAAAAATTATTCCAAATTTTACTTTATCTCTACGACTTAAAAGGGAGGATTCGCACAATGACTGGGATTCTAGCCACCAGTTAGGACACTAGAAATGGAACAGGATTGTTATTGCCAACTTGCTTTTGAAAGTATATAGAAACTTTCTAAGTAAAGTTGCTTCAAATTCTTTATTTGAACTCCAGAATTGCTTGTCAGGGAATATGAGATTAATTCCTTAATTAGTCAGTGGCAAAGCAAGTATCCCCTTGTTTTAGTGTAAAAAGCTGCTTCTCGCTATAGCTGTGCAATAGTATTTAGGATCTCGGTAAAAAAGAATTCAGCTGTAGTTAATGCAGAAAATTCAGAAAAGGCTATGGTGGAATTTTTTTTTTTCTTTTTGATGAAGTATTTCAGTAAATGCCTATCAGCCCCGAGGTTTTAATTATTAAAGACGCTGAAAGTTCAGCCGCAAGAAGAAAGGTGAATGTCTACCCCTGGTTAACTGCGGGAATCGGGGATGATAAACAGGTAAATTAATTATCTTTTCACCAATTACACTGTAATTGCCGAGCAGGAGCCGCGGGATGGGCACGGCCGGAGCTCCCCCTGCTGCTCGCAGGCTGGGCTCTTTGCCATTCAGATAAATGAATAATAAAAAACCACCTAACACACCAAAAATCCCTGTTTGACCGCGTCCATGACCCGACTGCGGTGCTCCAACCCAGCCCCAGCAGCGGCATCGGGGAGGAAGGGGAAGGTAAAAGCGAGAAGTGCCGCGGGTTGGGATAAAGGAAATTAAAATGGGAAAGCCAAGCGGCCACAAGCACAAACCGAGGGTGAATTCCATCCCCAGGAGAGCCAGGCCCTGCCAGCGCCGTGGGGACTTGGCAGGACAGACACCATCACTCCCAGTGTCCCCTCTTCTTCCTTCCTCTCGACGGGTTTAACAGCTAGTCTGCAAGCCAAACTGAGTTAGTAGAAGAAGAAATTGATAAAATATGAGTTTATTTATAACAAAGAAGGAAGCAAAGCCATTAGCATGGAAACTGATAAAATAAGCACAAAAGATACTGGCAGTTATAACATACGCGCCTTAGTGAGCAGCGTATGTGCCTTAATAATTTCTTGTAAATTCCTACCAATTAATTATTGTCGTTCATTACTTTATACCGATAAAGTACAATAAGGTATTGCATTGTCCAGTGAATATAATGAGCTGTTTTGATGAGACTAATGACTTAGGATCATGCTATGTTAAGGGTATAACAACTTAGGAACAACGTGTAATGAAGAAGCCGCGGCTGTTTTCTCTACAAGGTGTGTACGTATGTCGTGTATCATCTCAACAGCGACAATTCCTCCCGCCCTTTATGTCCTGAGTACGCTGTCCCGTGGTCTGGGGTGTCCCCTGGTCAGCCCGGGTCCCCCTTCCCGGCTGTGTCCCCTCCCGTGCACCCCAAACTCCTCCGAGGGCAGCCGCAAACGCAGCAAGGCCTTGGCTGTGCGGGCCCCGCTCAGCAGCGGCAGCAGAAACATCTCCGCATTTGCACCCCGCGCTCAGCACAGACCCAAACCAGCCACGGGGAGAAAATCAACCCTGCCCCAGCCAAACCTGCACTCACACCAAGCTGACACCAAGTTACAGCCTTCCACATCCTGGCTGAATTCAGGTAACACAACACATCCCAAGTCTCCCTTTTAATCCCAGCCCTAGTGACCACTTTTTCTTAAATGATAATATAAAACATGTTAAGCAGTAACCCCAAACAAATACCAATTCCTGTTAAGAAAATAAGATTTATAATCTTTATTGTTTACTTACATATAATAAATATAATACAGAACAAAAACATCACACCCATTGATTGTATTACACAGGCTGTTAATCAGAATACATTACATTTTCTTTTTATTAGCCCTTTTATAGGGTTTTGGTACTGGATATTAAGAATTTCAATTTATAAACCTTTTAACATAAAAACAATTTTCCAATCTGCACCTTCATGCATGTTTCAAATATTCATCTATATACTGGTTTTGTTAAAAATATATAAGCACTGTTCAGTATTTGCAATAAAGTACTTCAATTTCCATTCATTAGATCTCTACTAATATAGAGAATTTCAAAATAACTAATAGCTTAAATCTGATTTTAATTAAAAATACTTATTCTCTATTTTTTAACTGACCTCCCATCAGAAAATGAAGTGACAGGACAAATATCCCCAGGCAAAAGCCAGTGTTCACTTTTAGAGAACAAAGAGTAAAAGCTCTGGTTCTTGCTTCAGCTGTATTATCCTGGAATAATGGAGACACAATTTGGTATAAAGAGGGCAGGAGGAAACCAGAGTTTCTGAAGAGATATGCATCTCCATTTCAGATTTACTACTGCCATCCTGCTGTTTTCTTGGCTTAAAAATCACTGCATCAAACCCTGATATATGTTTTTCTCTGCATGAATATCCTTGCCATTAAATGGAAATCAGATTAAAATGCTACATTTCTTTTTTATCAAAAATAGATCAAGGTTTAACACACTCTGAAATCAGGTTTTCAAGTGCAAATGCAACACACATCAGCAATTCACGGTCTGCTTTCACTAAGGAAAATGGTTAAAAGATGATGCATAAAGATGTTTCATAGAGGATACTTCGATATCTGGAACTTCCTCTGCTCCCAGAACATCTGAATTATCAGCAAACTGTACAGACTTCAGGGAAAAAAAAAGTTTTCTTCAGGTGAAAGCTCTTCAGTTAAAGCAGCTTCCACTTGAATAGTGTAACTGAGAATTCCCTGAAACTCAGTACAAAATGAAACACCAGAACAACCACCAAAACTACAACTGGTTTTGTGCATTTTTTAATGCACTTATATTTCAGGGGTTTCATAACTCAAGGTTTCAAAACCAATTTTGTTTTACTAATATCTACTCCAAAGAGACTTTATGTGAATTTAAATCATTACAAATGCCCCTTCAGCTCTATAATGCTGAAGTTGTACCTCATACTCAGTACATTTCTCTAACTGCATTCAGGTGATGTCAGCTCCACACCTGGCTGTACTTTCCATGTGGCCTTGTGTAACCAGCCTCCCTTGAGTGCCAATTGACAGAGCATTCCTTTGTAACTGCATTGGATGGACTTCAAAAACACCAAACCACAAACAGAAAGTACCTCCTAAGTCTCCAATTTTAACTTTCTTTTTCTATTATTTTTTTAAAACAATCACAGGGCTTAACTTAAGCCTTCAGCTTCAATATGAAATGACCATTTAAAATACCCAACCATAGACCAATAAACTACTGCCGAGCACTTCCTATGCAGAACTGGGCTATGCAAGAAATTACCCCAGTGATTTTACAGCATATGCTTCCTACTTCCCTACTAATATTCTTGATTTTTCTATTAAGATTTCTGTCTTAAATTTTTTTAGTTTTGTTTTTTCTTCTTCAATAGGAAAGTGACATCAGTTGGAAAGCCGCTGCTGTTCTTACCTAGCTAGAGGAAAAAGTAGATTCTAAAATGTTTTAGATATTACTCATTCTGGCAGTAGAACCAACTTAACTGGTATGCAAGAGGTCAGATTTTGGTAAAAGAGAAGCATCACCTGTGACACAGACAAGGAAGACTTGTGGACTGGCCACATCAGTAACAAATTGACTGGTATCATTGATAAAAATACATTTGCATAAAATAAAGTTAGTTCTGTGCTAAATGACTAATTTCCCTCAGCTTGATAAGTATGGAGGCTTCATTGGTTTTATTTGGTTGGGTTTCTTAAAAAAAAGTGAGTAAAAAAATCAGGAACACATGTGAAGAACTATAGAATAAACAGCCCTGAATTTTTATTTCTGAAGCCATTTCAGTATCCAGTCATATTTCTTCTGTAAAACAAAGAAAATTTGTGCACCTTTCCTAAAAAACCTTATGAAGTTCATTAATAAAAGAAAGGGAATATTAGATGCAACTTCATAAATTGAGGAGCAGTTAAAGGACTCTGAACTTGCAGAACTAAACAGCTGCTTTGTACAAAAATCCTCAGAGAAAAGCCCTTTATGCTTTTTAAAAGTAGAAAGTGAAAGCCAGATGGAATTCTGGATGCATTCCACATCATGACAGGCATATCCAGAAAAAGTCTGGTTACCTACTAACACCAGATGTAATGACAAGAGTGAGAACACAGATCTCTAAGTAGTCACATTACATGTCAGATTTACGTTTTATGTCAGATTCCTAACACCACAGAGGACTAGGGCAGTCAAAATACAATTACACTGGCTTTAGCTAGAGAGGAAATTCACTTTGCAATGAATGCAACAGGGCATGGAAATGGAAATGTCAAAGCAGAAATCATCAAGAGGAAGCTGATGCTCAAGGCTGATGACTATGATCACCTTCTCGCGGACAAAAGAAATATACAGCAAAGTGCAGGGGTTAATATTCCTCATGCTGCTGATTTTAAACAAAAGTCATGTGGCAAGACAAATTCACCTTCCAAATAATTAAGCTGCATACTGGCTAGGTGGAAATAGCTTTTGTGATCAGTAACGGTAGTGTGTTTACCATCCTTACCCTCCATTTTTATTACTGAAGCCTTAAAGCAAACCATTCCAATTACATGCTGCAGACAGAAATACTGCAAAGGCATAAAGGTCAACCTGACTGCAGAGTTCTTTTCAATAAAGTTTTACTTTATTAATGCTGTCTATGACTCTTGTGGGCTTTGGATCAGCTCCCATTCTGGACAAAGTAACTTTACTGGAAAAACAAACAAAAAAATCCCCCAAAGTGATGAGACTTTTTTAAAAATTAATGATGTAAATTAATATATTTATGTTAGAGATTTATACTGATCTATCCCAGAATCAGATTATGTATTATTACAGCACTGCCTAACCCTGAAAGTTAATGTCACTGTCAGGTCAGAAGTGCAGCTTCAAAATCAGCAGAGTAACTATTCATTTCTATGGTGAAGAGGACAATTAAATAGAAAATCACACACATTTCATCACATTAGAATGGATGTTTCTCCAAAAAGTAACAAAGTGTTGGGCAGAGTACATTTTATTGACATCTTTAAATGATCTTAACATTCTCATAGTGATTTACCTGATAAGCCTAAAAAAATTCAACATGGAAGTTACATGATGTGAAATGTTTGAATGAAACCTGGAAATGTTTGTAGGTATTTTAAAAGCAGGAATTAGTTATTGGCTCTGACAACATATGCTATCATCCATATTTCCCTGAGAAATCATGCCCTGAAATGATAATGTAAAACAAAATACAACATTAATGAAATTGTTGATTAGACAGGGAAAAATGCATAACAGTTTATGAATCACATGAATGCTACTAGACTTATACCTATTAAATCACAGGCTACATGTGACAGCCAGAACAGAAATGGTAACTAACTCAAAACTTATGCCAAATAAAGGAAACTGATTCAAAGTACCATCCTACAGTAAGTCATATAACCCAACACTGTGATACTAACATCAGTTTGTTTCTTGATTTTTGAGCATGCCAGTTCTCCACTTCATCTACACTCTGCCCTTCTGAGGTCTATTTCCATATGAAATTCAAAGTGTGTTCATAAACTCAGCCTATCTCCAAAATTTAACTGGTTTTCCCTGATAGCTCAGTTTAGCTCAGTAACATAATTCCCCTAAGACAGGAGGATCTTCAGTAGGGAATAGGAAAGACAACATTCAACATTAAGAGAAATGGAGCTAAGAATTACAAATAAATCGTTTTGCCACCATATTTAAAGCCATCACAGCTGTGAACAGCAATACCTAGGCAGGAGTATTGTGACAGGAATGACAAAATACAGCAGCACACACCAAGAAAAGCAATTTGCAGGCCCTCCTGTTTTTGTTAGTACATTCCAAGGAGGTCTGCCATGAGTAAACCAAGGATCATCTGCAGTTCCCCAGGCTGAACAACAGCCTCCTGCTTCTGAGTCTGTGTGCAGCCCCTGCAGCCCAGCCAGACCAGTCCTGTCCTACAGCCCCTACCCCTTACAGCCACTCTCAGAGGCAGAAGCCAAGGAGCAGGATGCAGTGAAGACTGGGAAAGCCAAGGAGCGAGGCCTCAGTGCCTTCAGGAGCATTCATGTGCCCCAGACTTTGTTACAGATGTGGCATTTCCAGCCCTTGCTGAACCAACACTACATCTGCAGCAGCCCCTTGTAAAGGAACACATTTTCAGCATGACTGAAACCCAACACAAAGTGGCCAGAAAAACTGAAATCCTTTTCTGCCTTTGAAGTGCAACACACTGCTTATCAAACTAGGCAAGACTCACCAAACCCCTAAAAGAAAAGGCATGCTCTGTAAGCTTTTGGCAAATTATCATAATTTCCTTCATCTATAAAAACCAAACAGCCCCAAAACCTCAATTGCACACAGAAGAAATTGTTGGTTGCCTCAAAGGATTACAGGAATTAGTTCAACTGTTTGACAGAGCAACACATAGTATTCATTCCCCATCCTGCAGGCCTGGGAAATCACTGTTCCTTAACCATTGAGTGACAATCAAAGAAATGCTCAACATTATTTTTCTAAAGCATATGTTGTTCCTACAAGACGTAAGTCAGAATGAAGCTATCCCCAAATTGAAACAGGAAGAGCAATGACAATATACCCTACCACACAAAGCATTCATGAGAGAACTCCTTCACATTCCAGTTGTGTCATGGGGAAGAAAAACCCAGCACGTCTCCATTGTGTCCGAGGTACCTGAGAATCAAAGCTAAATCTCTTGTGCATTTACCAAACATCCATTAGAGAGCTATGCAATTTACATTTCAAATCAGACATTTATATTTATAAAATATCATTGTACTAAAAATCACAAGGTTTTGTAGAAAAAACTCCATCACATTCTATTAAATGCAAGAACAATGTTATATGTCATAGCTTCTGTAATTAAAAGTGTAACATGTTTCCTGTATTTACAGGGGCTTCACTGTTTAAAAATCCTTTCAGCAAGGACAGTTTATTTTGTTCCTACTATTTAAAGAACTGTAATTTAATGCAAAAACACAGCTTAAGCTACCTAGTGCCACGAGATAAAAATATTTCATATCTTATTAAAAGAAGTAACACATTTTTGTGAAGAACATTTGGAAAGCCCTGACTTTGAATTTACTGAATGTTCTTCAACATTCCTGGGGTCAGAGACAGAAGAATATTCTCTTAGTTCTTCTTTTCTTAACCTGTCAAACTAATGAATAATGAAAATTAATAGTCATATACATGCGAGGCTATGATGATCTTTGACTTTAAGCCATGAACATAAGGGCAAATATAAATAGCAACTGCATATTTGGTATTACAGATCAAATCCAGTTTGCATGACCAATTGCAAAAAACAGTCATAGAAAATTTTGCTACAAATACTGTCTTTGCCCATCTGAAAGCAAACTCAGTTTTCCCAGGCTTAATGCACTGATGTCACAAATCCCAGCTGATTGAAATTTGGAGTTAATGTCTAGTATTAAATATTCTGTAGGATCTCATTGAAACATTTAATTAACTGAAAAAAGACTTTTTTTTTATTGTGAGTAGGCATTAACAGTACTTCTTGGAAAAAGTTAAAGCAAACATCCTCTAAATTTGTCTTCATTTTGAAGGACAAATCCAAAACCTAAGGAAACTCCACTAGTCAAAAAATGCCTGAAAATTCTACCAAAATAAAATCAGTTCAACATACTGCATTTTCAACCTCTCTACTTGTGGGGTTTGGAAATTTAACTGTGAAATTTAATTGACTTTCTTGTCTCTTTTGAGTTTGTGATTTTTTTTTTTTTGTGGTTGGTTTTGCTTTATTTTAATTCTTATTTAGGGTCCAAGAAAGACTTACTATCTCATCTTAAAGAGATGCCTCAGATCACCAAAGCTTGGAGTGCAATCCAGTATTAAAAACAAGAAAGAAAAACTTGATAAAGGTTAAATACTTGAACTGAATAGCCCCAGGTTCATTTTGTCTTCCTACTCTACACACAGCTCTTGTATTAAATTCCAGCTGCTGGCTCAAATTCTTCTATAAATGTAGAGCTTAAGCATGCTGCTTTCCTGCATTCCCTCTTAAATAATAGTTTTATTACCAAAACACCAAAATTGCTTTTGGAAGGATCATTACTGAGTGCCAAAACACGAAGAGGCATTTCTGCTATGAACCCTTCTGTATTTGTGTGGAGGGACAGTAGAAATACCCTACATTATTAATAACTTTGTTATGTGGAAGAAAATACTGCTGGCTAAAAATCCATCTTACATTCATTATAAAAAACTCAAATCCATCAAAAGCCAAAATTAACTTTGATCTAAGTGTCTCATAGGCCAGGAACTGAAAAATGGCATTGACTAATTTCTAATATTCCTGAATATAATTATAATAGCTTCTCTGGATTCAAAAGGATTAAGCACTACAGTGGAAGAAAGATAATTATCAGTTTTAGAATAAATTTATTAATACAGCTGGGGGAAAGAAAAATCAATGCAAACCTTTCCTCTTCATATTGCTTAGCAGATTAGTGTAGTGCCAACCCACTGACTGAAAACTTTCACTATTAATTTGATCTCTTTCACAATGTGGCAGCTACACCTGAAAATTTTCATATCTGAGAGACAACTGGGATTGAGAATGGTCAAGATGGTATAAGAATGTATCCCCAATAGTATTTTACCATTCACTGAAATTTTAAGCATTCCTAATTGTTGGGTGTTTTTTTTTATTTTTAAACATCAGCACCCATTGCCATTACAAGGCTACTAAAAATGGCCTAAAACATTATATATGTAGTGTTCCAGGACCATACAAAGATCCTGCCTCAATTATAGGAATGCTCTTAATAAATTACTTTTCCATTTTCATCTATTAATATGCAAAGAGTTTATACAACATAAAAAATTTAATTTGTACCTACTACAGGTAACATATCTCTTTAGCTTTTCATCTGAAAGCGTGTAAGACTTGATGACCTGCAAACTTATTTACATAACTCACTTTAGAGTATCTTTTAAAAATAATATTGTCCAGCATTTAACAAAATTGTGACTTAAAAAAAGAAAGAAATCACTTAACAGCATTTGCTTTCTTGATTTTGTCAAGTAATGTCACCAGGTTAAGTGTTATAAGGCAGGTTGGTTGCTCAGATGGACTAAGACTCCTATGGTGACAGGCATGTAGTAGATCTGTTCATTTATAAAATCAGATGAAAGCAAGAAAGAGAAAAAGTTTAGAGTTTCAAAAGAACTGAAACTTCTTATTTTTACTACAAATTCAGAACAGGCACTGAAACATGACTCCTTAGGGACTTTTCCAGAAGATTGTCTCTTCGCTGGGCATCGTTCCATTTTTAAACTAAGAAGAAGAAGAAAAAAATTATCACGGGTACATAACTCAGGATTACAAAAGAGAAATTACCATAAGTATTTGTTTCCATCTTACTAACAAAGCAAATAACTCCATGTCTTCATACTTTATAATTACTGTTTTGGTTAGAATATTTTTAATTTCATTATTAGATTAAAAAAACATTGGAAAATATTTTCCATATACTTACCATGAGAAGTATTTAGGCTAATATTTAATGGAATTTACCAACTTATTCTTGTCATCCACAAACACAAGGGCTCCTTTCCACTTTCTGGACCCATAATGATGAAGTCTGGTAATCTTAAGACTTCCCTGAATGGTTGGTGTTTTTCATGAGCTGCAGCAGCCCAAACTGAGACCCCAACAGCACTGAAGAGTGAATTAATTACTTCAGCTCTCTATCAAACACATCACCCAAGCCAAGAAGTTGTATGGCTCTTCTGGTGTATTCACTCACATCCAGTTTTGGATGAACTTTGTAATACTCTTTAGTAAAAAACTACATTTCAAAACCATTGACTGACAACTGTGAGAATAATGCTTGGCAACAAGTAGTAATAATAATTTTGAAGATACACTTGAAAAGTCTGTCCATCAATACAGAACAAGACTGACTGCATGCTCTATAAAAATGTGTCCTTGCAAAACACAAATACCACCATGAAAACCAATCCTCACCTCTCTGTGCATTGTTTGAGGTTTATTAAAGGTTTACCTTTTGACTATGAACTGCATCCATCTCCATCCTGTGAAACACTATGCATAGGGATGAGGCTTTCACACTGCTCACTTTCTTCTGGCATTCTTAAAAGAAACACATTTATTTAAAGTCATACAGTAATATTAAATTGATTGTTATGAAGCCAGCATAGGCACCAAGTATGCAGCTGTTTGAACTTCAGCCATTAAAACCATGCAAAGACTCTTAAATTTATCAAGTGTACTCAAGTTTGCACAATTTTCATTGCATGTGCTGGGTACAGAAATTATTACAGATGCATTAAGGGAAAAATTGTGACAACCACTAGGAAACTTTAAAACAAAACTCTTAAAACTTTTTAAAAAAAGTAAACAGACTTCACATCTTTCCATTTTCTGAGCATTACATGGGTTAATTGTATGAATGGATTAGCAACTACTGCTATTAAGAAATCAGTGCACCTGAATATAAAATCAGGTGAAAATAAACAGAGTATGAGTACTGTGGCTTATAAAATACACCAGGATTATAGGATATTGGAAAGGATATTGGAAAGGCTAAAGCGACAGGATTATAGCTTGGGACTGCTCTACCTCTGAATTCGATGTTTTCTACAAATAAAGGCAAAAATTCTTCTGACTCCCACCATCACTGGATCCCAGTTGTTATAGTGACACAAGAGAGTTGCAATGAAAAATGAAAAAAACACTGGTACTGCTCCTGCAAAAAATAACCAGGAAAACTGCACCTGGAATTGAAACACAAACATCATTCACTTGATAGCTCAAAAAAGAATTTACATTCTGTATATTTGGAATTATTATTATTGTAAGTTTGAGATGCAGTTTGAGTTATTTTAAACAGTGTGAGTTATTTTGTACAATTTCTACCATTACTGCTTCTTCTAAGAAATGCATAACCTGTTCCCACTGATCCATTCTTAACAATGGAACATTCTGTTCGCACTGGGAGCTGAATGAAGACTGCTATTTACAAATAGTCTCGGGTTTAGGTTTTCAGTTGTGTTTCTGGTGCCAAGGAGAAAGTCTCCCAGGCATCCCATAGATTGGAAAGCAATGACCTTTAAAGCCCATTCCAACCCAAACCATTCCATGGTTCTGTAACTCCAAAGCAAGGGCACAAGGACAGGGAGAGCCTGGGACCTGCCTTTCAGGAGGACAGAGCCATGAGCCGTGGGCACAGCCCCCCCGTGTGGAGAGAAGATCCAAAACTGAAGACTTTGGAGAAAACATTCAGACCCTGGCACTGATGATCCTCCTCAAAGACCTCATCAATTGCAATTGTTAAGCCCTGTGTTTCCGAACTGATTTCCAATGCAATTCAGAATGCGTTAAGTTGCCAAAAGGAATTAGTCATAACAAACCTGGTTGCAATTTCCTAAGATTCAGATTTATGTTAGAAAATTACACCCAGAAAAATAAATACCCAGAAAGTTAGTAATTATGAATATTCTATAATTACCATGCCATTTGACAGTCATATGCAGGCTGCACGTATTGGTATATTAATCTTTACATTATATGGAGTTATTCTTGGGGTGCCCTGTGCAGGGCCAGGAGCTGGACTGGGTGAGCCTGACAGGTCCCATTCCAGCTCAGCACATTCTATAATTCCATGATTATTGGCCATGCCAGTGGCATTCTTGTGCAGGGTTCTTTTAAGTAAAAACAAGGCTGGCCAGAGGCAGTGCAGCTAAAATTTCTGTCAGGTTATCTGAGATGTGGACACCTGAGACTTCAGGGCACAGGGCTTGGCTTAGGACAGTCTGATGTCTGTATGAGAGACTTGCACAAATACACCTGTGCAAAAAACCTCCAAGTCTGCAGCACCTTGCCTTTAATCAGGGTCCCTCACTTGTGCTTCTAATACTAGTAATTTATTTTCTAAAATGCAAGACGGAAAGGTTTTACATCCCACAACGTGAGTTAAAAAGGTAATTTGCCCTGTTGTTACCAACATCAGCTGAAAGTCATGCAACAGAGCTTGAGAGATGTTTCTGCTATTTGAAATGCCTCCATGCTGCATTAGTACATGAAGAATAAATTAATTGTACAAGATCTGGACTCTGTGTTTATTCAGAATAAACAGTCTAGACATTAGGCTGTTTACTGGGAATTAGAAAAGTATAGTCCATTTTTCACTGCATCCCAGAAGAAAGTTTAGATAAATCACTTCAGAAGATAATCTAACATTTTCATAAATTGATAAATGTAACTATATATATACATCTCTACCAATGTATTTGCACATACACACTTTGCCTTGCAAAAACACTGAACAGCAAAGCCTCTTTTTGGCTGGAAACATTCCAAGTGCAAAACTTGACTAATTTTTTGTACCAAATACACCAAGCCTAAAAGAATTTAATTAGAACAAATTCTGTAAACAATGATCAAAATTTAGTAGTGCCTTACCTTTTGCATGCACATGTCAGCTATTATGGACAGAGGTATTGTAAGGCTTAGGGCAAGTGTGCCTATCAGTGATGAGGTAAGAAAGCAGCCCCTAAAAGACAGTAAAATCATAACAATTATACAATTTAAAGACAATAAATAATAATTATAATAATGAGGTATTACTTGAAAGACAACCAAAGTAATACATCAAATGAGGAAGAAAGTCTTAGTTACTGTTTAATAATCAAAAATTAACTCGCACCATCACATTCCATCATAAATCTGTGAAAGAGCATAGAATTCTTAACTATGCAATGGATGTCTTCTGGGCTGAGGTTTAATTCACATACCAATCTGTGGAGATGATGGAAATTTCCCTATTTCACATGTACTAACTTCATCTAGAAAAATCTGCATTTTGTTCCCATACCATGATTCTCTACAGCATAAGAGACTGTTTCTGAGTTACAACCAACCTGTCCACAGAAAACTGTAAATGAATAAATGGTACAGAATCCAATAAAAATTTATCAGCAGGTTAAAAAAAACCCAACAAAGAGTCACATCTATCCATACATTATTTAGTTGGTAACATGTGCTTGGGTGGAGTAAATAGATTAAACTATATTATTTACTTCCAAAAAAAGTAAAGAAGACTATACTAGTGGCACACTGGACTGGTAAAGAATGATATCAGCACAAACTCTGTAATTAGTCCCAATCCAAAACTCTAGGGAAAAAAAACTGGAAGTAACACTAGCTCTTAACTTGACTGGAATATAATTCTGAGTAATTAAACAAATATCATGTATGTAAAAAAGTCTGTGCACACCCATGTACTAAACCCTACGTTAGTACTTGATTTCGGGACAAGAGACAATGTCTGAGGTTTGGGGGGGTTTATGCGTTTGTTTGTTATTTTGTCTATGTTAAAATTACACTTAACCTTACATTGATACTGAGCTGAGTTTAATGTTACAGATTAGATATAATCACAAAAATATTATATCAAGAAACCAGTTCAATTGCCAAGGAACATATGCTACAATGCATTTACACCTAGGACTGGTGTAAAAGTTTGCCAATAAACAAAAAAATAACTAAAATTCATACATAACTTTAAACTTGAAAAAACAAACAGAAATCTACACCCCCTAAAAAACCAAAAGGTTTTTGTGGAACTCCATCTACTCCACCTTGATCTTTTGTTGCAGTATTGTGACAGAATTGTTACAACAGAATTCATAGTCTTCTTTTGCTACTGCAACTCTGTAGTACAAAGTCTCTTTGTCTCAAATGTTAATTCTGCAATAAGCTAAACACACAGCATTTTAATTACTACAAGCACACATCAGCTACTTTTTAAAGTTAGCTGTTGTCTTAACAGGACATTGTGACACAATGCTAAAATTTCACAGGTGGATAGAAAAACAAGGATAAAGAAAAGGACACAAAGCCCAGACTGGACAATTTTACATCTCAACATAGGAAAGATAATTAATGTGAAATATATTCAATGTATGGAGTACATACCACAGCCAGAGAAACTCTGACAAAACTGTTCCAATAAGGCCATTTATGACAATGCACATCCATATCAGTTTATTGGGAAACTCAAATGCTTCAAACCCAGTATAGTGAAGCAGGAAGAACCCTGGCCACAGCAGCAACAGATTAAACAGTCCTACAAAACCTGGATATAAAAACAGTATTAAGTAAATCATAATAAATTTTCTTCAGCATAACCAAAATATCAGCTAAAATCTGCTATTTTGACAAGATGCATATAGAAAAGCAGTCATGAAGCAATATTTTAAATCTTTCGAAGAAAACAAATGTAAGAAATTTAACCTGAAATTCACAAACTAAATTTGCATCAGATATTTACAGGTTTGAAATTGAAAAGAAAATAGAAACTAGAAATCTCATTAAGTCAGTGGGGCTGTCTGCGTACCTACAGGAAGTTCCTCTCATTGTTAAGGCTCTAAACAAGAAACAATTGACACAACCAGTACCTAAAGGACTCACAACCATGGGAGTAAGAGGCTTTCTCTTCCTTGGCTTTTCTAAGCCCCTTTACCACTCAGACACAGTTCAGTGCCTGAAAGCATATCATTTAATCACACAGTGAATTAAAACTTTCAACAGGGTTACTTTTGCTCTTACCAAAGAACATTGGTATGTCAAGTTTATCTTCTCTATCTACTTTCCTTTTTATCATTACTATGTAGACAGCATACAGCATTGCTCCTACAAGAGACCAAATGGAACCTGGAAAAATGGAAAAAATACTCCTTTGAGATATGCCAAACATGTTATGACAGCAGGATCAACTCTCCTAAACTTCCATTGATTACAGAATCCATTACTAAATGGAAAACATGGAAAAAGGGAGAAAGCTCTAAAATAGAAATACTTTCCCAATATACACATAGGATGGAAATTTATCAAAAATGGCAAGTTTTAGAAGTTTAAACTAAAAAGCCAGATTGTGAAATGTTACATGAATAAGAGATACAGAGCTTGCTATATGACTACTTAGTACTGTCAGAAGGTACTGATCACTGCATATTCCAGAAATAACACCCGTAAGTAAATACCTATGGTATCTTTTCCAGCAGATTTTTCAGATCCAGAAAGGTTAACAAGTACCACACCACCAATGCTAGCAAAAAAAAAAAACAAAGAAGAAATGCAAAATGTTGCTTGGACTCAGGAACTTCTTTACGAAAACAGATAAGAGATACACAGTTCTATCTTTAGGCATTTTTAGTTAACCAAAACCCACTTCTGGAAAGACAAAAGTTCTCAACTGCTAAGATATAATCCCAAGTTAAAACCAACAAACGCTACTTTTAATTTCCTAGAACAATGCAGCAGGCATTTAATGAAAGAGGCTGAAAACACTGAGTGTCAAACTTTTTCACTATGACACAAAAATAAAACAAACCACAAATGAACAACAAGAAAATAAATGTATCTATTTCCAACAGAAATTAATCTAATTTCCTACAGGAGAATGAGATTTGCAAATGGTTCATGATACAAAGCATTTAAGAATCCTTAATTCAGTTGCTCAATTCAACTGTGAAACAAGGAAAAGTGATGGATATCATTTATTGTCACAGATAACACAGGTCCAGCAGGTACAGTTGTCCTCTCACTGTACCAGGGAGTTTTAGAGCAAATGTTCCCTCACATTATCTTACCTTAAAATAACAGCTAATAATTTGGACAGGGTAAACCGATCTCCACTGTTACTGGGAAAGACTGCAGCTAAGATTAATGTAAAAAGCCCTGCAAGAGAAATTCAGAGGAGTTTATACAATCAAGTTTTTCCAGTAGTTTGCTCAGAAAACTACACAGTTTCAAAGTTATTATACTGCAAATACATTCCTTTAATATACAGATGTAGCTGCAGAAGTACACACACAAGAAGCAGGGGAAATATGAAAGTACTTTAAAAAACCTCTGCAAATGCAAAATGAACTTTCTAAACACACACATTCAATGCCTTTAGGTCAAATCCGCAAGCAAAAATGTTACACAAATCCATTGTAACAAGATTTTTATGATATAAACAGTGTTGTAATGCACTTCTGGTAGTGTAAATAAAACTTACCAGAGGTTGATGACAAGATATTAACTATGGCCACTTGGGTATCTGACAGAGCTTCTTGGTATGAGAAATTTGCCAAGAACCACTGGGGAAAAATAAAAATCATTTTGTTATTATATGGGTAGCAACAACAGAGCTTAAGTTTCTCACTGCAATAAAATCCTCCTTAAAAAAAACAAAACAAAAAAAAACTCCAGTTATTTAAAAATAAAATCAGAACTATATTTTTAGTTTAAAGAGACTTCCAACTTCTATTAAAGTGGAAACCATATTAAAAGACAGCAGCAAACTTAGAACTGGCTCAAACCAACCATATTCAAGTACATATTCAATAACGAAATAACATACTTCAGAACTTGAAAATAATTAAAATGACATTATAATAGCTAGTCTGTAGTAACTAAAGGTACTTTTGACTTGTTTTGGAGAGCTTTACGATAATAACTGCACAAGGGCTGCAAAGAAATTTCAGTAATATATGTGACATAAGTCACCCTAATGAGGTTTTTCAGAGTACTTAAAACCAGCACACATCTCCACTGGTAAAAACGAGCATCTCTTATGCTCAGTGCCTAAAAAATACTTTTTAATTCCTCCAAATAGGAAAAAAATGGCACATGTTTTTTTACTTTTTGATTGAGATCTCATTAGTAAGATCTCAGATATATTCTAAGGGAAGTAACCACTCTCTAGTCTTAGTAGAAATATTCATAAAGTCCAAGCAGAAATACATGCACATGCCAGTAGTGTCCATGAACAGATGAAACAGGATTTGTTTTGGACATGAAGACACTACCCCAGAAAAAATTACACCACTATTTTCTGGTACATGCATCAGTGGTATTATTGTTGATGATGATAATAACAATAATGCTTAAATAGCTCTACTTCCTAAGGAAAAGCCATGATGAGTCCACATTACATAGAATCCATCTGGCAGTATCAGTGAAGGTGATGCCTTCTAGACAAGGCATCACTGATCTGCCCTCCACATTTTTCTGTCTCAAAAATCCTGCCACTGGAATCTCTTTCTCCCCCCAGAACTGAGGTATGATGAGCAACAGCATCTACCAGCAAATCCATAATTAAATCTTACACAAGAAAAGTTTAACTTCTTACAGCACATTTAAAAAATAAGGTTTAAAGAATACAAGTCATCTCAATACTTATTAACTATTATTATACAAGTTTTAAATGCATCTTTACTTAAGTTTTGTGGAAGAATGGAGCACATACCACGAAGCAAAAGAAAAAGCTAATTTTAGCTACTTGACTTGCAGTGAGTTTTCCTACAGTTTTTAAGATGGATTCCTGCTCCTTCACGTTTGGATATGACATGCGGGACAGCTTTGCCTCCAAAGCGTGGCTGGATGGGAGCTGCCGGATCTCCATGATGTTACTGAACCTCACACGAGGCTTCTTGGGTGCTTGAGAGAAGGAAACAAAAGAACAAAAATTAAAAAAAAAAAGAAAAATATTCATATTATTATTAAACTTTTAAAGCCAACATAATATGCAAATAAAACTATGATATTGTAACACACCATTGATTACAATACTGCACAAATAACGGGTTCTTATCCAATTAGAAGACATGCCATCATGATTTATTAAACTAATATTTTGCTATTCAGGAGGCCACTAATAAGACAAAGCACAATTAATTACTGTTTTCAATCAGTAAGTTGTCCACCCATGAAAACCTCACTGAAAAGCACCACCCCTGCTCCCTGTCAAAAATATCAACAAAAGGTAGCAACACATTTTTAGACAGGAATTATTCCATCTTGAAAAGCATTATATATATCAGATTTTCTTTAATTTTTTAATAGCCAGACAAGCAAAACCTGCATACAACTATACCTAACTGCAAGTACAATGACTCATTTAGAAGATTAAAGTCCAACAGACCTCAAAGCTTAGAAGAGACCATAAAGTGACTTGCCCTTTTGAAATCCACTCTCTAACTAATCTTGCAAACTAGGATCAGGTTTTATTTAGAAGGTTATTTTAGTATCATTAGCTTCCTCTGTAAAGAAAACATTACACTAAACACTACAGGCAAATATTAGCTTAAATCAATGTGAAACAATACTTTATTTCCTAAAAAAAGTAAAGGGAAGGCTGCAGCTGGAACAATTCTGAAGTGATTGGTGCATGTTGCCATAGGAAGCAGAGCCTACCAAAGTGGTCCCTGATGTGTGCCATGTAGAAATTAAGAGAGCTTCCCTTTGATAAGCAGGAACTCTCTGCTGAGAATTGGCTAACTGGATGTTTGGAAGCCAATCTTCCCACAATTCTGGGACAGTTAGGACTGTTCAGGTACTATCACAAGATAGTGAGGCTTAAATAAAACCAGAATGCACAAAGACTGTTGAAATTCTTACTTTGACTGCTTTGCTCCTGCTCTAAAAAGGACAATAGCTTTTTTTTTTCCAGAGGCTGACTCACTGCTGCTGGTCTTACAAGCCCAAAAGGAAAGAACCACAAGTTTTGAACCAAGTTGGTCCCTTGAGATAAACATAGGCTGCATCTGTAGTGACCAAGAAAGGTAAACTGAACGACAGGCCTATGTTTTCTCTGCCTGAAAGTAAATATACGAGATTGCAATTCATGCAATAAGAGATTTCAGAAAGGAGAAGGAAAAAAAAAAAAAAAAAAAGAGGAGGGGAGGAAGGGGAAGCATGTCCTGCAACATGACAGCAGCTATACTAAACAAAGAGAAAAGTAACTCCTGCACCAAAGAACTAACATTACAGTATTCCAGAAGTCTTTACTCACTTTTCTCTGCATCACTACTATTACTGCCATTTTTTTCAGTTGGCAAATCATGAAACTTTACAGGAACATATAAAGGTTCACTCTGCAATGAATCAGTATAAGTAAAAATACAGTTAAGCAGGATATTTAAATTATTACCAGTAGAATTTATTTAGTGAATTAAAAAAAACAAATAAAGAAAAGCTTGGTGAATAGTAAGAGAACCAGACTTAAAGCATGTCTGCACACAGGGGACAGACTTGTCAAAATTCATGTATACAATATACTATATGTTACACATCTTGGTAAAACACAGTACTTAAAGAGAACTGTGCTCTTTTGTGTGTATCCTCATGCACACAAAATTTATGGCCAGAAATTTCCCACCTACTGATTTTAAATTACAAAATAAGTCATCAGTATTAAGATATTTCATTAGCTATAGCTTCTGCCCACATTATAAACTAGAAACATGAAATACAAAATGTATGTAGAAAAATTCATGTACTCATTTTCTTCCCATGACCCTAAAATCCCTCATTTTCTTCCCTAGACCTACACATCAAAAATCTTTGGGAAAGATCTACAATACAAAAGACACTTAGAAGTAGTTCAAGCAATTAAAACTTTTGCTAACGAGTTTTAAGCTACTTGTTTAGATTAAATTAATAAACTGTAAAAGTGAAGTCATGAAAAAGAGCTGATAGTTGGATTTTCGTTAGGCTTGTTTAGGACAAGAATTTTGGCAGACATTTAAATTAATGCAAAATTGCTCAATTTTGTAGAGTCACATGATCTTAATGAACTGAGAAGGTCAAGATTTTATTCTTAAATACAGATAGATAAAGTTGAAAATCCCTAAAAATTTTAATGAAAAATACATCTGAAAAAAAAATCTTCAAGTAATTCTGTATAAAGTATCCATACAGTAATTTGCAATACTCAATTCCTACCCCAACTCTATTAAACAAATGGTACTGAGTTGAATATGTAAAGGTTTTCTCTGCACAAAATATTTCTCTGACAAACTACTAGAGAAACATTCAGTTGAGTGCTTTATTGAGCCGAGAACCCATATTTCTTATAGTAAGCAATACCATTATTTGCACTACTTATTAGTAACATACAAGCAGGCAAATTACCAATCCCCTTTGACAAAACCTATTACACTTAAAACTGCCGTATTTTATATACAGTAGGTCAAGATAGTTGTGCCAAGTCACTGTGAAGCATTGACCTTCATAAATTAAGGCACTTACCAGAGAACTGTTCACAGTGCTATCTGTTGTACAAGCAGCAAAATAACCTTCAGCATCTGCAAACTAATTACAGAAATTTTAGTGTAATAAACTACCAAGGCAAAGTTATTAGTAACTGAAATTTTTGAAGAGTAAGGGTTTTTTATGACTTTTTCCATCATTCTGTCACAATTCCCTCTCTCCTCTCAGCCCTCCTGCCTAATCCAAGAGGGCTTACAAGTTCAGTAATTAATTTCAGTACTTCCTTGTACCTCTTGAACCCCAGTGAATTAAACTACTCCGGTATGAATGCAGGATGAGGCTCTCTGATACAGAAAACCTGCAAAATTCAGTCTTAGGGACACAATTCCCACTAAATGATTGTGCATCTATTAACAAGCTGCTTCTTTCTTCATTTTAATGAGGCTGAGTTCCTTTCCCTCCTCCTGTCTACACCTTACCAAACCAATATTCCCTGATCTGCAGCTTGCTGTTCCACCATGATGGTAGCAAAACTATTAAACAAAGCCTCTATGTGGAAAAAAACTTGAAAGTAAGGTGTGAGTGTTTCTCCAAGCAATCATTGAAATAAAACCATATAAATGGATGTGTAGTCCAGACTAATAAACACAAGACACTTTAAAGGTACTTGCAATAATTACAGAGTTGACTATTTAACTACACCCCTTGAGGGGGAAGGAATTTTCTAACAGCACATTACAGTCCTGTCTGCACTGTTCTTTTGAAAAGGAAAAATAATGGGATTCCAGTAGCAGTGTCATGAGTGCCACACACAACATGTGACAGACTGGGCACTATTAGTCATTGCTTTCCAGTTCATATTTCATTACTGTCAGCAAAGAAACTAAGTTCTGTTTATTCCCAAATTATCTTATGAAGATTCTGAACATCACCAAGTCTAACACATGCCATATTACACACAAACACTTGGTAGTAAAGGCTGATCTAGCAAAAAGTGTATCAAGATATCAGCCAACTTTAAATGCTCTGTGTTTAACTCAATAATTTTTTTAAAATATTTTTCAGTTGTTCTTTGTGCTTTGTCTTTTCTTAAAAAAAGAAATCAGATAAAAGTCATGTAACACTTTAAACATGGTATGTTATGCCTGCAACTGTCACTATCAGTGAAGTCTAATATACCCAGAAAATCTTAAGTCAGTTTCTTTCACACAAGCTATTTTCTATGAAGACATGTTGATTAACAGCATGTTCTTGGATCACATTTTCTTGGGTTTTTCATGTGAGATTACTATAAGGCCAAATGCCTTCCTGCTTCCTGAGTGCTGCTGCTCAGCATCCTGAAACACTGGCACAGAACAACTGCTCTTCCCAGCATCTCTTGGAAAAAAACCCAGTATTTTTGTCATATAACAACAATTTTAGGTTCTAGCACAAACTATAACTAACTCTGGAATGGGCATCAGAAGGTCACTTATGCATAAAAGTTATAAAAAAAACAACATTAACAACAACAAAAACATAATTCTACCACCTCTACTAAATGTAACTTTAAACCCCACAAAACAGTCAGCAAACAGTTCATAGTTGTGCCAGAGACAAAAAGAGTCAGTGCTAAAAATCAACTACAAAGTTCAAATTCTGATTCCATTGGCTGCAGAGTTAAAGGGAACCAAGAGCCAGCAGTGAGTGTCATAAGCTCTTGTTAAGAGGAATTATCCTCTGCAATTGCCCAGGATACAAAACCAGGCTGCAGGGACCAATGGCCTGGCCCAGCAGAGCATTTCTTACAACTCCTGACACATCTCAAATTGCTTTTTCTTGCCTCTCATCCTTTCACAAGACAACTGCTATGGCTGCCTGTGGCATGATTCAGCTTACATCTCAAATATGCAACCTTTGCTCTTCTCTAGTGTCTATTTCAAGGGGATTTAGTTCTGTACAAACTTAGAAAAATATCACAACATCTAGAGTTACAATACTTACAAAAGCTGCATGCCTCCCACGAAACCCACGAGTACACTGCTGCCTCCATGGCTTCCAAACAATAAATCCGAAGAGGTACAGAACAAACATGGATGTTTTTGCAAATGTACTGAAAAAGGGTTTGTTGTACCTTGTAAAAACATACTGTGGAAAGAAAATAATTGCAGCATCCAAAATTAACAAATAGGTAAGAATTCACAAATTAATGATCAGGTATAAATATAGAGTCCAGAACAGTCTGGTTCCCAAAATACCACAGTTGTGAGTACTGGCATGGATGACCAAAGGAACCAAGTGGCTCTACGTGTTCTGGGGGAACCCTCTCCCAAACTACCTCCAATGCCAACAAAAAGAAGACTTGTAAGAAACAATGCCACAGAAGGAAAACTACTTATTACTTGTATCTCACCAAGCAACACATTTATCTGCTACTGAAATCAAATAGCACCGAAAATACATTTACATACAAATATTTTGTAAATTGAAGACCACTTTTATAAGCAATAACATATTAATCATAAATTAGAGAAGATTATTCCGGCTAAATAACATTTCAGTATCAAAAGTGACTCCACCAGCCCATTACAAAAAATGTTTTATTAATACCACATGATAAGCACAAACATTTGTATATGCTTAGTTCCAAAACTGATCTAGAACATAACAGTTCAGAGAAATGAATTTATGAATTTATTAAAAACTCCATTTCCACTGCTAAACCACTGGTTTAAGTCCTAAAATTTAACATGAAATAAATACAACAGTTTCAATATGGTTAATATATGAACTAGATGAAATTACAGGGTTTAATTTTAAACTCCATTACATGAGTCCTTTCATCCTGAACTTCTGGATATTCTGAACTACAATTCCCCACATCAGCCTGCCATGTTACAGTGCATTTACTAATTTATGGGAACCATATGGGCATTATTTTAATCAATACAGCAATAACAAAATGAACTCCCTGATTACAGTAGACAGTGATGAGTTCATCCTGTTTCATTTTAAAGTCATCTTTTTCATTTTAAAGACACCTTCTGTCTCAAAAGAAATGGGCACTGAATTGAACTTATCTGTAAGTTTTAGTGGATTCAGGCTGGTGAAACACCAAGTGTTTGATAACCTTGTTTCTGCTGCATTTTCTCTTTAAAATGTGTGGAAGAATACTCACAGAAGTGAGTTCTGAAGAGGCCACCCAGATGACATCAACCAGGAGGAGAATGACAATTCCTAGAGCCATTCGCCTGCGCTGAGCAGATGAGCTGCTCTGGGAGCTCATCCGGTTCATGATAAAAACCCACAACATTTGGAACCTGAGAAAAGGAGACAGAAATAAAACACAAAAGCTTACAGGGACACACAAAAAATAAAACAGTGGGGGCAACTGCTTCATACACGTGAACAAGGCCTAGTAGGCAAGGACACACATGGCTGTGTTGTTAAAAAGCAGATCTTTGACAGATCTGGCAGGAAATTTTCTGAGATATTAGGGACAATTAAAAGTAAATCTTGACTTAACAAAAATTTATCAACTGCTTTAGCAATGAAGTAAGAAAGAAGTAGGTAAAAGACAATGTCTTTTTGGAATTTACACTACAAGTTCTGCAAACAGTATAAATTAGATTGATGTGTTGTGACAAATGTCAGAAACGTGTTTAAACTTAAGAGTCATTCAACAAATATTTCAGAGGACATAGGAAAACATTTGGATAAATTATAAGCCCTTACAACAAGAGTTGATTCAAGAAAAAAATAGAATAATTAATTGTAAACTTAAAAAAGTAGACTACACATGTATTTGTATTAAAAAATTATATAGCTACTTGGTAATTTATGAAATATAGGCATGAACCAATTCTAGTGAAAATCTATCGAAAATTCATTAATGCTACTGCAAAGGAATTCAGATTTGTGACGCAGCTTTACAGGTCAGCATTGGATGGCCTAAATTTATAGAAGGCCTAAATTTCGGAAAACTTTCAATTACATTACCAAAAAACTTCAAATACAAGTGACAGAGACTGATGACTCATTCTTGTACTAGAATCCATGATGTTAGCCAGACATGTATGTGGTATTTCTATCATTAACCTTCACTTATTTATGTATGTATTTTAAGAACCAATTTATTAAGAGTTCATTAACTACAGATGGCACAGAATACCATAAACTCAAACACCACCTCTGAGAGAACTGCTCAAGGAACTGCAATCTAAGTCATCTTTAGAGAGCTGCTTCTGACTTTCACAGTAAATAGAGGTCATCTGCTTTGCTAATATGGTCTAATAAATTTTAACTGAACTTTGTTTTTCCCACATGTCAACATACAGATGCTTTCTTTTCATTATTTACAAATGATTTATGAAAGAGACAGTGCAATAATGTCCTCAGTGAGTGAGGAAGGTACATTACTTTTTCCAGAATCACCTGTTCCTCAGATTAAGGATTTAAATGCCCAGATAATGCAGAAAACAGTGCTGTGATCTCCAATGTGCTTGTGCATGAGTCATATTCTATACAGTCTCTGCCATGCTCAGATCTTGACACTTTGTCCTCCATTTCTCAAAGGGCCTTTTTCAAAAGGAAAATGAACAGGCAGAGTTCCTGAAGTATAATTATACCACTAGATCTATGCTGATATATTCCATGTGTGGGCATCAGTTCTGGATAATTACTCTGCTTTTCTGATAAAATGCTGGGACTGACAAAAGAAAGCAGAAATTTTTAAGTAGAGAGAGGCAAAGTTATGAAAGACTCAGCAAGGAATTATAGTTTCTACTTGATACAGAATAAAGGAGAAAACATTTGCTCTCAAAGAGAGAGCAAATGAATGTGTTATCTTAAACTTGAGGAAACAAAAGTTTTCATGCTTGAAAGCTTATAAAGGTTTTTTCGGTTTTTAGGAATTGGTTTAACAAATACTATGTATTATACTCTACAAACTTTGCCTTCATTTTATTATGACTAATAGCCTATAAGCCATTACATGAAGGCATATTATATATATCCTAAAAATTGCTCATGTGTTTGCATAGTATGCAGCTAACATGGAAGCTGGGCATAGAAGAGTTCAAGCAAGCTGGAAGGAAGAAATCTCATTCCTGTCAGGCTATAGCACAACTCAGGGACAGTGGGAAAGTATCCTAGAAAGAGAAATCACTGCAGCCTTCCACCAGTTCTGTGCTGCAGGCAGGAGGGGAGAGGTAGCCGGGAGACAGGAGGGAATAGCAGCAGCCTGATCAACTGGACATCTCCACATCGGATGTTCCCTCACACCTACGGCTCTGCTGTTCTCACCACGGGCTGCTTCAAAGCACACTCTGTGAACAGAGATCATGCACAGATAACATTCACACTCTGCACCTGTTTAATCTTGTGCTCAGCTTGTCTACTTTAGGCTTGAACAAATCCCTTGCTTTAAAATCCTTCATCAGGAGCAAAGTAAAGGATGATGGAACATCCAGCCCTTCTTAAATAAGAGGTTACACAAAGTTATTCAGAGTCTATGCACATTTTACACCATTTCTTCTGTATCTTTGACAAGTAGATGCTAAAATTCTAAATAAAGGGCCCATAATTATGCTTTGGAAGTTGAAATTTTTTATATGTTGCAGTAAGAGCAGCTATTACTTTCTCATCTGACTAGCAAGTATCTGTTTAACATTTCTGTGTGCCTAATATAGCCTTTGCTAGATCCTTCCCTAACAAGGCAAAAAGCTTAACAAGAAAAGGTGCTACAAAGTGCAGCACGATCACCTTCAAGATAACAGTTGCCTAATAAAGTTACCAAGCAGCAATACTAAAATGTCTGTAAAGTTCAGCAGAAATTCAAAAGCCTACTGAAATACAAATACTAAGTTTTAGGACAGAATTAAAACCCTGTAAAGCATCATACAAAATGCAAAAATGCAAAGACAAATTGAAACTACTATTTTGAGAAGTTTTAGACAGACACATTGTCCCACTTATTAACAGTACTCACTAATTTGCAATGAAATGTAATTCCATACTTTTATGTTTGGCTTCTGTAAATTGAGGGTAAGATGCTCTGCTAGAAATGAACACACAAGAACAAGACTTTCTCATATTACCTTCCACAATAACTGTAAAAAAGAAACAAAAGTGGTGACTAACAAACTTCACACTTCATGTTGAAGTGAAGATAGTCTCCTAAAAAAAACCAAAAAAAAAGCAAAGTGTGATACATCATGGCATTGGTATATTAAGTGTTTATCTTTGCAAAACACTGTCTAAAATTTCAAGTTCTACAGTGTCTTCTGCGGCTCAAATCCTAAGTGTTGGGGACATACAGATCTAGAACCTTAACAATTGGCCTGCACCAAAAATGCCAGCAGGGCAGCCCTGAATTGCAGGAAAACAGGATCCTTACCTACTTTTGATATTACAAAGAACACAATCCCTTCCCTATTAATTGACTATAGGAGGTTCACAGGAACAAGAACTTGATGATGTTAAATTCTGATTTTCTAAGCTGTGCAGAGAAAGGCACTGTTTCTTAAGAGCACATTCCTAAGCAAAGAATGGAAACTTTAGAACTAGGAAGGTAATGGAAGAACATACAGGCTAGTTGGCCACAAAACAATCTAGAAAGATAAGGCACCTCCACATTGTGTCACGTGGAAGCCCAGTATCTTTCCTTAAATGGAAACAGCACTACTATTGTATTAAAAGAACATCATCTTACATAAAACATTTTTTTTAATTTTTAAACTCGGATCCAATAAACACATTCAATAAAATCCACTTTAAAATCCACCAATATATAGGAAAAGAAACATTATACAAAATAGAGCCATAAGTATTATTGCCTAAAGTGCTGGAATTTTTAAATTGTTATTATTATTAATGTGAAATGTTGTTAAGCTCTGTTTTAGGGATGTCCTGAATCAACAGGAGTCACACACTACGCTAAGGAATCTCAAATTAGTGTCCCAAACAGAAGTGGCAGCACGGGCAGAATTAAATGTTTACCCAAAATTAGCTTTTGATCACCTGTCAAGCATGGCTGAGAGTCTGTAAACTGTTAACAGGGAGCAATAGCTAAATTTGTGTTTTTCAGCTCTTAGATTAAGAGGTAACTCATGAAGAGGGACCCCAGAAGCTCCCTGAACTCAACATTTACACACAGCAAGTTCAAACCTTTTCCACAGTTTACCAAATTATCATAACTGCTGAAAAAGACCCAACAAACTGGAAGATGCATTTTTTAAGAAAAAAGCATGTGATTATCCATCCTCTATTCCACAAAGACAATGCTCACTGTAGATCCTGCACACCAAAGCAATTAGTCACAAAATCACAAAATATTTTGAGTTGGAAGGGACTCACAAGGATCATAAAGTTCAACTCTTAAGTGAATGGCCCAGGGATTGAAGCCACAACCCTGCTACTGTTATTGTAGAGCTTTACCCTTACAGAACATTTAATTTATCAAGTGCAAAAAGTTATGATAAATTCAAGCCACCAGAAGACACAGACTGCAATAAAAATCATGGTTTGAAAGTAAATATCATATTCTACTCTATTAATAGAGCAGAAACTGAAGCCCTTTGTTTCCATTATTAGGAAATAAATATGCTTTCCACACAGTGGAGCTTTAAACATACCAGCTCAAATCTGACATTTAAAGGGATATTCATTTAAAAGACTTTTCTTAATATCATTATAATTTTTAGCAAACAGCACTGAGACCGTTTAAAGTCTCCTTTTTTTTTTATTTATTTACCATTCCAACAGTCTTAGAGTTGGTGCTGTCATCTTGCAGAACCATTTCTCAGCCAGTTACAAGATCTTCTGAAAAACAAACATTAAAATTTTTCTTGTCATGACATTGTACTTTGATTTTAAAATGCTGCAGTACCCTAGATCATGTAAGAAGAGCCACCACTTCAATTTATGATATCAAAAAGATATCAAAAGCAGTCTCACTGTGTAGCCTTCAGTGCATGTTCAGACAGCTGACTGCACTAAAGCCAACAGGCTCAGCAGCCTGTCCAACTCTCCTCTTCTGAGCAGGCAACAAGCAACTTCTGAGGGCAGGAAATAAAACTGCACCATTGATGCTTCATCTGCAAGCTTATTTGGACAGCATCAAATGTTTCTTTGTGCAGATTATTTCCACATTACAAGCTCCGCCCAAGAAGAGAAAATCATGTGAAACTCTCAAACTTTTACTGCACTGACAATTAAGGAAAAGAATATTATAGGCCAAAGAATTGCCAAATCATTGCAAAACAGAAGTATTGCTGTTCTGGCTGCTCCAGGAGGAAAACACACAGCCTGTCTCTCCCCTCCACCACCAATAAGTAGAAAAAAAAGAATAGCAAGAATGCCAAAAAAACACAGAACAGCATCTCAGTCACAAGTCACGGTGCAAGCAAGTCAGCTGGAAATTCTTCCTTGTATTTATTCAAGATTATTTCATATACAATTTGAAAGACAACATATCAAGATAAGGCTTGCAGGCAAAATAAATGGGTTTAGTTTTTCCAGTTATACCAGCTGCTCCAACAATACAAGTTCTGAGATACAACCTCCTCCCCCTTTTAACATGTTCTGTCATCAGGTGATTCTTGTTTCATATTGGATTGCTTTTGAGATAAGAGAAACAGAGACATTACTTTCACTTTAACCAGAAAAAAAAATGAAAGTAAAATGATTTACATTTCTATGTCACAATCTGTAAGCCTACATTAAAGCAACATTAATCTAACACAATTCTGATGTCTACTCAACCTCCAAAGAGTACCATGAGATCGCAGCAAAGGCAAGAATATTCAGGAGAGATGAAAAAGTCAGCCTTATGCAACATGACTATTACATTCACTGCAGCCCTCTAATTTTTACTCAAAGAAAGTTTCCTGTAGGATCTTAGAATACAGTGAAGCAAAAAATCCAAGAAAGCAACCAAGTTTTCCATACCAGTATTGAGTTCTGCAAGAAGAGATCACTGCTCCCATCTACATAGGAACTTATACAAGACCAAAATCTGCACAGAAAATTCATTAATTTTACTAGCAAAATAAGAATTTAGCTTAATCAAAGGTATGTTTTAGGAAACTGTTGATACGTAAGTGATGCTATCAAACCGTCATGGCACAGCTGGATATGGACATTTAGGGAATAAAAAGAACAAGAATGTTTGAACATTGTCACCAATTAAATGAAAGCTTCCTATTTAGCACTTACTCAAAATTCATGAAACAACGCTTCAAACAATTTTCCCATCTAGAATTAGCAGTGCAGAGTATTAATCTGTTTTATACCTCAGAGTCCGTACCAGCTACCAGCCTATCCAAGCACACAGTTCTCAGTAACTCCTGCAGCTTCCCCAGCAAGGCTGTGACCCTGCTGGACCTGAAGTCTGCCTGCAAGGAGTTAGAAACACCCAAGTTTCAGGTCAGTAGAGCGAAAGCTGACAAACAGAACAGACACTGACCTCCTTGTTATTCTTGTCCAGCAACATTAGGAGAAAAAAACTCCATGTCAAGCTGCCAAGGCTTCTCTAAGCTTCACTATGTACAGAGCAATCTCAGCCACCAGTAGCTCCACATTTAACATCAGCTTACAAAGGATTACAAATTACATCCATTTCACATGCTGCAGATCTAATCTTGTCTAGTGCAAGGACTAAACATATCGTGCTTTGTCACAGGACATACAGACACAGATTCCTGATAAGAACCAGCAGGGCAGCTTTCAGAGAGACACCCTGGCAGCTGGAAGCTGAGCCTTCCAGGCAAGGTAGAAATCCACGAAATCACTGCACTTGGAGTGAACGGGGGTCTCCTCCTTTGGGGAAAAGTAGCAGGAACAAAGAGAAAATGAGTAAGTCTTCTTAATGCACTCAGAGAAAAGTGAATGCCTAAGAGCGAAGATATATGGCTCAAGCCCTGGGGACCTTGGGGGAGAAAGAATTACTAGAAACTCACAACTAGAACACTGGAAACTGCAGAGGGAAAGGAAACGGAGCTGCAGCCCAAGCAGGGGAAGCACCCCTCACACCCCCAGCGAGGCAGGACAGTGCTGCCAGCACTGAATGATTCAGAACGACTGAATCAATTAGGCTGGAAAAGAGCTCTGAGATGATCGAATCCAACCCATGACCAAACACCACCCAGCCACCCAGACCATGGCACATGCTTTCCTTAAACTCCTCCAGGGATGGCAACTCCAGCACCTCCCTGGGCAGCCTATTCCATTGTTTAATCACCCCTTTTGTAAGGAAATTCTTCCAAATGTTCAACCTGAACCTGGCGCAGCTTAACACTGTGTGCTCTTGTCCTGCCACTGCTGCCTGGGAGCTCGACCGGGCTCCTTTTTTTGCAGAACAAAAAGGTCTCCCCAAAGTCTCCTCTAGCCCGGGCTAAACTCCCTCAGCTCTGACGCTGCTTATGGCGCTTGTGCTCCACACCCTCCGCAGCTCCGCTGCCCTTCTCCGGACACGCTCCAGGGGCGAGGCACAGGGCAGGGCCGGGCACAGGAGCACAGGGGCACAGCCGCTTCCCGGCCCGGGCACCGGGCCTCGCCCTGGGCACCGCGGAACCCCGGCCCGGCCTGGGGAGCTGCCCCGGGGCTGGCAGCGCGCCGTACACCGCCCCCCGCACCGCTGTCACGGCCGGACGGGGCCGAGAGCGGCGGGACACGGCCCCCCTGCCCACACGAAGGGACAAAGTTCCCGGCCCCGCTGAGCCCCGCGGTGCCCCGGCCCCGCTCCGGTACCTCAGGCCGCGCCGGGCCCGGCGCCCCCCGCGCTCCGTCCGGCGGCGCCGCCCGCCCGCGCCGGACACCCGCAATCCATCCCCGAGCCCGCGAGCGACCGCCCCGCCCGCCCCGCCCGCGGGCCGGCCCCATCGACCCGCTCGGCCAGCAGCTCCACAGCCCTGTCCTGCTGCCCGCCCCCCGCCCGGCTGCGGCTGCGGGAGGGGCGGCGGGGGGGGAACCGGGCCGGGAGGGGCGGCGGGGGGGGAACCGGGCCGGGAGGGGCGGCGGGGGGGGAACCGGGCCGGGAGGGGCGGCGGGGGGGGAACCGGGCCGGGAGGGGCGGCGGGGGGAACCGGGCCGGGAGGGGCGGCGGGGACAGCGCCGTCACCGGCCGCAGCGCTGGGCCACCATCAACATCAACATCACCATCAACATCACCGTCCGCAGCGCTGGGCCACCATCAACATCACCGTCCGCAGCACTGTACCACCATCAACATCACCATCCACAGCACTGTGCCGCCATCACCATCGCCATCACCATCGCCATCCACAGCGCTGTGCCACCATCACCATCCACATCCACAGCGCTGTCTGACCACTGTCACCATCCACAGCGCTGTACCACTGCTGTCACCATCACCATCACCACTGCTGTCCCAACACTGTCACCATCAACATCCACAGCCCTGTCCTACCATCGCCATCCACAGCACTGTGCCACCGCTGTCACCATCCACATCCACAGTGCTGTCCCAACGCTGTCACCATCACCATCAACATCCACAGCCCTGTCCCACCACCATCCCCATCCACATCGCTGTCCCCACCACCACCACCGTCACCATCCCTGTCCCATCACTGCCACCATCCCCATCCCCATCCCTGTCCCCACCACCTCCACCATCACCATCCCCGTCCACATCCCCATCCATATCCCTGTCCCCATCACTGTCACCATCACCATTTTATCTAACCCCGTGCCTGTGCCCGTGCCCATCCCGGTCCCCATTGCCATCAGCGACCCCATTCCTACAGCGTTCCCTTCAGCGACCCCATCCCCATCTCCATCCCAGGCCAAATCACTTCCCCTTCCTTGTGCTCATTCCTGTCCCCATGTCCACCCTTTCCCATCCCGTCCGCAGGACTCTCGGCCCCGTGTCTCGCGGGGAGCGGGAGCAGCACCGGCCGTTCCCAGATCCACCATCTCTAACGAGGGAACAGAACAGCTCTGATGGAGCAGAGCTTGCTCCGGAACACAGCCATTTATACAGCCTCTTCCAAAACTTTACGATAAGCAAGTCAAAGAAAAACTAGCAAACAAACAACAACCACCCAGCAAAAAACCCCAAAAAACTAAAATATGGAGGAAGAGAGAAGGCAGAGGAAGAGAGCACGGAGTGAAGAACTAGAGATGGAGAAGTGGGATGGAGGTTGAAACTAGTCTGTCAAAAAAAAAAAAAAAAAAAAAAAAAAAAGGGAAGAAGCAAAATCGAAGTGTGCAAGACCCTTGAGAAATGTCATAAAATGCAGTGAGGTGGTGGAATCTTAATTTCATAGTTACCATAATCTTTACACTGTGTGATACAAAATTTCACAGGACCTGAAAGTAGAGGCAACTATTAATTTTTTGCTTCACTATCAAGACACATTTAAGAGCACAAAAATTGATATTGTGTAGACATGCAAGATAAATTAAAGTAAACTTTCAAGATGTATATGCCAGTGACTAACAAGTTGCAAAAAGAAATGCTAGACAAAGTCGTCTATCAAAAATATTGAATAAAATGAACTTTCATAGGCTTAGATGAAATTGCAAAATCAGATTCTGGTCTTGTTTTATTTGGTTTTATAGCCAATGTTAGTACTCTCTGTACTCAGTGCTATTAGTATTTAATAATTAAGCTCACAATACCGACCTAAAGATAACTCAGTGTATGTCACATCTTGTAGATTATTTAGTATTCACCTGCTAACAGAAATAAAGCTTTTGGCAAAATTTAGCTATTACATATTTTGGAAATTTTACAGCAAAACTGTTAAGAAACAATAGTAAGCAATGTATATACATGAATAAAAAGATGTTTAATTGTTATTAGGTGATACATATGATATAGCTGTGAAGTTATTTTAAGTGCTACTCACTTAAATAACAAACTGTTGAAATCAAACATGATATTTCACCCTTCCTATGGTTTAGTGATTGAAAAAAAATTCATTCCCTCTCATATAAAAATGTAATAGCTTATCATAATTTTTCTAAAGAGATTTTAGGTAAACTGAATTTCTTAGACAGTTTCAGGAAAATAGCAGTCCACTTGAAATGGTGTGTCCTGTGGAATTCAGAGGAATTGAAAAATATACACAATGTAACTGCAAAAACGTGTGTGCATCTCACAGGCTCTCATTTTCGTGGATCTATGTATGCAGATCTTTGTTTAGTATTTATACAGAGACTCAGTAAACTTACACAGCTTATCCAAGGTCAGTCAGTTCATCAGCAGCAAAACCTGAAGAGAAAACCAAAGAGTTATGACTACAGTACTGCATGTAATCCTTTCCTATATCTAATAGTGCATTTACTAAATAATATATTTAAAATATTATGCATAATTTATATTAAAACAGGGTGAATGTTAAAAAAAAGCTCCGTTGCATTTGAACAGGGAGAATAAATAAGGCAGCAGGGAAGGTTGAGATTCCCAGGCTCTATCTCACCTGATCATGCATTAGCAGAAAAAGCTTGGTTTGCTGCCCCTGGAAAATGCTTTCCCACAATGATCTTGGCAGTGGTGATGACAAAATACCTGTGATATGCAGATTTTTCTATCTTTTTATGCTTTAGTCTCTTCTGACAGTGGAAAGCACATGAAATCCCACCTGAGTTAAGACCAGATTTCTGGGTGTATCTCCATGTGGCCTCTCATGTATATGAATTTTCTTTCTTTAGGAGGCAATGCAGCAGTTTGCCCCTCAATATGGCAGCACAGTTAAATCCACCTTGTTAAGGTTCTGATTTTAAGCATCTTGATTGGGACAGGCAAACAGGAGGGCACTGTTGTCCTTCAGGTGGAGTGCCAAGATTTCTTCATCACAGGATGAAGCATTTACACTGTGGTTCCTGGGGAATTTTGAGAGAAACAGGTCAGCATTGTCAAAG